TCTCTCTCTCTCTCTCTCTCTCTCTCTCAAAACATCTGGCATCAAACCCGGGATGCGCCTGCGATGTGTCTGAGATATTGGCTGGGACGTCCCTAGTTTACTGGCAAAGAAGATGACGCCCATAGATTTGGAGTGAAATTTGGTGTTCTGAATAATTTTGCCTTTATTTTTAACCATGCACACTTGGCAAATTCTTATCAATGACAGTTTTCGGCGAACCCGCAAGCCTGGGACTTTGGTGCCGCTTCTGCCCCTGACATTCATTGTGGCATACCAAGCAGATTTGGCCTATGGCTCCAAACTCAATCGAATCAAAAGTATGTAAGCCGAGTGTATGCCATTCTGTCAAATACTGTAGACTTTATGGGATAATTTGAGTGTTTGACATTGAGCTGATATTTATTTGCAGTTCCTTTATTGAGGGCTTCCATTTGGTGTGGTGTTTTTACAAATTATGTATTTAAACATTTCTGATTTGGAAGTATAATAAAAAGATAAGAGTAAGGAAAAAAGATGTGTAGAAAGTACATTTTAGTAATATTTATAAATGATTTGCAGTGGAGGCTGAGAACATCTTGGTGTTTGAGCGTGAGCTGGTTTCAATGCCGATGGGTGTGCCGACTCCAGCTTCAATTGATGAGGCTCGTGAACGACAGGAGGAATCCAAGCGACTGAACAAGGTTCATGAAGTGTTTATTTAGGTCTTTTCTAGTATATTAGTGGGATTTTAAGCAGCTTAAACCTCACAGATCTTTTAAGGTGCATTTATAGTGTCAGTAGATTCACAAGGATAGGTGGGCATTTACTACGATTATGCGATACAATAGGTTGACTTGAACTTGGCTTGTAATTTACAAGATTGGGTCATTCTGAAGGGCCAGTTTTACTTCACAGAATGCCTTTCTTACTTGTCTACAGCAGAATTCCACTCATAGTTACAGATTTTCGATATGCGTCCCCTTTTTCTCTCTTCTCATCTGTAAATTTATACTACAGTCTCTATAATTGTAGTGACTTAGCATAATGATAATTAAGCATCACATCAAGCACACTTTATGTTCCTGCTACGATATAACCAACTGAAGGCAGAAAGCAAAAAGAGTGTGCAGAACTTCCAGTCAGCCTTACAAAAGTCCTCTACGACTTAACTTCACATTTTGATGTTTGCGGATGCTAGGCAGTCACAAAGCTGACTTTGCTTGGACTCTCTGTTGATATGTGGTTTTCCTATAATGCTGTTCCTTCTTACTACTATGTGAACAAGTGTATCTAGTCTTCATATCTCTGTATGTAATTTTGTCCTTTTAATGTTTAAGATAATCTTAGATTTAATTTTGATGGTATTAGGTATTGTTATTATCATTACCAGTTTCGGTGTATAAATATTGTGCAAATAATGGCCACACCGGCAGTATAAAATCAACTTCGAGTTGATTGAAAAATTTTAAAGTGTCACAATTTGTGCTCAAAAGCATGTGTGTTCATAATCTTTGCTTATGATTCACACCTGTTGGAGTAGCGAACTTTTATGAAAGACATCATACCAAAGAATATTCCCTGTGCTGACCCAAAACTTTCATCCAGTTTATGGCAGTTAATTTAGTTTTTTACGAAAATGCCCAATGAGATGAAAATAATTAATCTTAGTAAATGATAACATAACTGATTGATACTGTTCAAGGAAAAGCAATACTTGATGTAGCCTCTATAAGCTTATGTGAGTGCATCATAACTACTGTGTTTTATTTGATATGTAGTGTGTATCAGAATGAATGTGCTTGAGATTAGAAAAAGGAAAGATGCACACCATGTTTAAGCCTGGGTTGATAAAAGTCTTTTATTTTTCTGTATGATTTTTTGACATTTTTGTGTCATTTTCTATTTCACATTTACCCTTGTGAGTGCTTCATATTCTAAAAAAGTGGGAAATTTTGGTAGCCTTTCAATCCATAATTCCAGCATTTGTTGTGATCATCTGTGAATTACTTTGAGATTATATAGAACAATATGACCAGCAATGTTCATTGGATTTGTAAGCTTCAGCCACAAAGGGAGGGATCTGTTGTAAATCGCTTCCATCCATCACCTTTGAAGGAAGTCTCACCAAAAGTCCAAACTGGTTTTGCATTTAGGTCCATTGCGTCCAGATATAGAGTAAGGTTGTGTATGTATTAAGCACAGGCACTAATGATATGTAGTAAGAAGTGTGTCATAAGAAACTTTTTTTCTGCAATTCCTGTTCTCCTTGTTCTTATCTCATAAAGGTTTCTAGTGTTCTTGTTGGGATGACCATGTGATCAAAACACTTTTATTCTTCAATTTGTTGCTATTTGTATTGTTCTATGTAAGTTTTGGTAGTGAAATGTAAAATGCAGATGTCTTATCTGGGCTTCATGCTTTCCTTATTTTAAGAAAAGAGCATATACTAGTTTTTACTATTGTTGGAATGGTAATAATTAATCTGTCATTTAAATTTTAGGATATACTTTTTATATTGAGGGTTCTGTACCATTCCATTCTAAATTATCATTTTGATGAAAGGTATTATTGCACTCATAAGGGTTGTTTTTAGTTTGCCTATTGTAATGATATACTATGTGTTGTCATAGTTTATTTATATATGAGAACTTGTTTTTTTTATGTGTGTGTGTGTGTGTGTGTATGAAAAGGAAGTACTTTCCATATACATACCATTTCTGACACTCACTTTCATACTTACACTTCACACTTTCTTTCATACTCATACACACACCTGTATTTACATTTGCGTTTGTTCGTATACTGACAAACACCCACACAGATATTTACTTATACTCATTTGCACTCACATATTTAAATAAGCAGGTGACTGTTAATCATATAAAGTCCCATAAAGATATATACAAAGACTATAAGGCAGCTGTTCTATTTATGTTACTAGTAATTTTAAGCAATACAACCAGTTGGACCTCCCAGATCCAGAACTGTAGTTCAGCAGTAACAGTTATGTAACAAAGATTTCAATTCCCAGATGGCCCCGGTTGGCCACTGGAGATAGTATTTTGGTTTGGCGTGATGTAATTTGCATTAGCTTTTTTTCAGTATGTGGAATTATATGGTAATAATTAATCTGTCATACATAGGGTGTTATGGTAGAGCTATATGGTGGTTCAGAAATTTCTCTAGACAGGCAATAATTATGGCTTGAGGGTGCTGGACTTGGGAGGGACAGCCTGTGTTAGCACATAATGGAAAGGGATATAAAGATATGAATCCAGACACAATTTTCTTTGGGAAAGTGTTTGCGGGTATTTCATCTTGGTACAGTTAAAGAGGTGCAGGCCAGGATGGTAAATTAGCCAGTATGTAGCAAGCAAGTTTTATTTTTTATATGAGAAAAAGATATTTTAATTTTGAATCATTTGTGAATAATTAGAAATGTTAGTAAGTTAAGGGAGGTATGTAGCCTGTGTTGCATTACAGTTTGTAAAAACTAAAAAAGCCAAGTAGAGTTAATTATACATTTTCTAGTCTTTTGCTGGTGTTGTTAAAATCAGTAAAGTGTACCTGTATAGTGAGATATGATTTTCCTCTTGTGTTGTTGTTATTATCATGGCCTCTTTGAGCAATATGTGTAAATAATGAACCGATTTCTAGGTTACAGGATGTGCTATATGCAGGGGCCATAATAAGATTTTAAGATTTTTTGACATTTAGTATCATAATCCTCATGATGATTACCTGCCTGCAAAAGGTTGTCAGGTTTTCCAGCTGTCTTGTTACACTATGCATTCTTTTATCCCAGAAGTAAGAGTAATGTCTTACTAATTTTAGTGGGCAAGATGGTATTGGAGCATGAATGTAGAAGTTGTTATTGTAGGCTCAAATTCTACAGCTTCATGGGGATGATCAAAATTTCAGTATTTAAAGGAAGCCCTTTCTCTCAAAATAAGAGAAAATATTCCTGTTATCTTTTTCTTTCTTTCTTTCTTTCTACTGAAGATGAATAGTTTATCATTACTATTAGTATTATTTTAGTTACTAATATAATTATTATAGCAAATACATATTTTGATATACAAAATTTTGGGTACCTAAAGAAATGGGTAAATAAGATTGATATAGGTAAATTCTTCCAATATATTTTTAGGTGTACCTACAAAGTTATCTGTAATATTATGTTATCAGCTTAAGATTTTTATTTATAATTATGTATTTATTTATCTTTATTCTATTTAGGCATAAGTATGTTAAGGAAATTGGATGTCCATTCCCAAAAATGAATACAGAACCTCCAAACAGATGTATCTGTTGTGACAGTGCAGTTTGTCGTTGTGTGTGTTTGTGTGTGTGTAAGTTCTCACTCTTTGAATTTGTTTTCTGTTTCAGTGTATGAGTGTTGGTGTGTCTGAATGGATTTTGTTTGTTGGTTTATTTATTTTTTTTAAATATTTCTAAATGTTGTTTACTTGTTGGGTGTAAAAGGATCATTAAAAGATTAATATATATATATGAAAAGGAAAGAAAAAAATCTTGTTTAGGCCATCCACAATGTGTGATGATTTTTGATGTTTAGAAGATAGAAGAGTTGTATTTGTTAAGTGGTGTCTAATTACCTCATTACAGACGATTCCAATGTCAAACTTCTCTATGGATAAGATATGCTGCGAAGTGTTTTTAACGTCTAGATTTTGCTGCTTTTAAAGGCTGTCAGTGTCCCTTTTTGATTCAGTTGATTGTGCGCTGAAGGAGGAAGATTCATCCCCTCATTTTTTTCCTTTTTCTTTTTTTTTTTCATTCTAAGGAAGCTGGAGGCACTGTCTTTGGGTTTGTATTTCCTTAACAGTTTCATTCTCTCTCTCCCTCTCTTTTTCTCTCTCTCTCTTTTTCTCTTTTTTTCCCTCTTTTTTTCTCTATCTCTTTTCACTCTTTTTTCTCTCTCTTTCTCTCTTTCTCTCTTTCTTTCTCTCTCTCTCTCTTTCTCTCTTTCTATCTTTCTCTCTTTCTCTCTCTTTCTCTCTTTCTTTTTTTCTCTCTTTCTCTCTCTTTCTCTCTTTCTATCTTTCTCTCTTTCTCTCTTTCTTTTTTTCTCTCTTTCTCTCTTTCTATCTTTCTCTCTTTCTCTCTTCCTCTCTTTCTCTCTTTCTCTTTTTCTCTCTTTCTCTCTCTCTCTTTCTCTCTTTCTCGTAATAACTTCGTATAGCATACATTATACGAAGTTATACGATTTTCTCTCTCTCTCTTTTTCTCTTTTTTTCCCTCTTTTTTTCTCTATCTCTTTTCACTCTTTTTTTCTCTATGTCTTTTCTCTCTTTTTTCTCTCTCTTTCTCTCTTTCTTTCTCTCTTTCTCTCTCTCTCTCTCTTTCTTTCTCTCTCTCTTTTTCTCTCTCTCTCTGGTGGTCTTTTTTTCCCTCTTTTTTTTTCTTTCTTTTTTTTCTCTTTTTTTTCTCTCTTTTTTTCTTTCTTTTTTTTCTCTTTTTTTTCTCTCTTTTTTTCTTTCTTTTTCTCCCTCTCTTTTTCTCTCTCTCTCTGGTGGTCTTTTTTTCCCTCTTTTTTTCTCTATCTCATTTCACTCTTTTTTCTCTCTCTTTTTCTCTCTCTCTCTCTTTCTTTCTCTCTCTCTTTTTCTCTCTCTCTCTGGTGGTCTTTTTTTCCCTCTTTTTTTCTCTATCTCTTTTCACTTTTTTTTCTCTCTCTTTA